ATCTCTTTATATGAAAGTCGTTGTTTTAATGGTGTGTCCCAGTCCTTGTGAGCAGGCAGATCTAGACCTGAGCACTGAGAGCAGAGAGCTACCTCAGATTGCTGCCCCACACAGTAGTCCTTCTGCAAAGACTCAAAGAATATGCCATAGATACATGGAGGCTGATGACAGGGAGACATTGATCCATAGAATGATATTTCTTCTGTCCATTACCAAACAGGCAAAGTGATAGAAATATTGTCATAGTCTGTCATTCTTATAAAATGATATTAACTGTAAAACCATACTGTTTACTGACAAGAAAATCTCCCAGAGCAGTGCCCGGGGTGTCTGAGCAGCGACAACATCCCTGGAATACAGATCTGAGCTCTCAAGGTCGTTTTGAAGGATAGCGCCAATTTAAATATTGGCTTGATGTGCGCTTAAAAGTTATTGCATTGCTTTACATCCACCTCATGTCACTAGTTTTCTTCATTTTCTCCCCATTTCACCTTCTCCCCTTCCATTCAATTTCCACTCTCTCTGCTGGAATTAATTCTTTTCTTTTCTCAAAATGGAAGAAAGACAAGTTCTCTCCCCTTATTCTAAATGTCAGTCTTTTGCAGGGACATACTTCAAGTTTTCCTCTTTATAATCGCACATCTTACTTAATGAAACACAATGTCCCCACACCATCCTAAACTTCAACATGTCACCAGAGCAGAGGCAGATGGTAAATTTAGCTCATTGCAAGGTGGATTTGGAACCGCCATGGATCAAGTCATGTCCCAGGAACCGCTGCGGTCGGGCAGCCAAACAGAAAGCACATCACTCATGGCGTGTGTGGGCTGCACTATCACGAAGGCTTTTAGTTGTGCCCAATACACAGAGCCTAACGAGAAAAAACATCCCCTCCAGAGATATTTAGATTTCCTATTCCCTTTGCATCTTTTGCCATAAATGACAAGTGGTATGTTTCACAAATGCATCTTTCAAACAGGATCACTGAAACGCAGTTACATCTTCATGTGCTGAGACCAGAGACTCCACGAGCCAAGATTTTTCTCCTGGTCCAGTCTTGTTTCTCATCCACAGAATCCCCGTTTTATCAGGTGCTCTCAGCAATACTCGCCCTTTGAGTGACATCTTTCTGTAATGAGAAAGGCATTAGGGGGCATTTTCATGACAACATATTCCTGCCTGAGTAGGGAGATAGTAAATTCCAGTGACTGGAAATCCAGGTGTGTCCAACGAACCTTAGTTTGCAGGTCTAGACACACCTCTGATGAAGTGGGGTTTAAGTCAGATTTTTGTAAATTGAGTCACAGCTTTCTCATAGAGCCACAGGAAGAGCTCTAAATGGTGGTGATTAGAGCTGGCATTTGTTGAGTACTTGCTGCCTGCCAGTCACTGTAACGGGTACTCGACATGCATTGTCTCATTTCATCCTT